TCGATACGATTCTCCGCGAATATTCGTCCAACAGCTGTAAACACCGTTCTACCTCGTACAATAACCCCGGAAAATAAGTTTCACTTCCGAGGGAAATGGAAGTCGTCTTTCATCGCATTATCATCGAGCGTTACCTCGCCATCTCGCTTCTCCTCACGCCACTCTTTCTCTCGCCGCCGAGAAAAGAGCAGGAGCCAATAAAACTCGGCGAAAGAATTTTTAAGAAGCTTTAGAGGAAGAATGAATTTTTCTTTGTCCTTTTTCCTCCGATAGCGAAAGACCACTGGTAGAATTTTAATACGATTTTCCTCTGTTTTCCTCAGAATTTTCCCAGTTCGTTGAATATATTATTAACATTTGTCCTGTTCCCCTAATCTCCAACGTTAATTTTTGCAACCCCGTTTGGATTTAATTCTCGCGAAATGCCAATTTTTTGGGGGGGGGGGTGCGAATGAATCATGGTTTTGATTATTCTTTTTATCGCGTTTTGTTTAATATTATCTTACAAAACAATGTGAGAAATTTTTGTGATTGCAAACAGAGGGTTCCAACGAACGATAACGAGGTTTCCGGGGTTATTGCTTCGTTATAGCAGTCGACTCGGTGCGAGGGTGGTAAACGAGATATCCGGGGGATGTTTCATCCCTCGTCGGTAACGTAGAAATTCTGTACACGTGCTTTCCTGGAAAACCGAGGAAATGCGGGGTTCGTACCCCGAGTCGATAACGCGAGGGCTGTGCAACTGCTGATGAAGCTGCACCCCTTCGTTTTACCAGCAACTGTTTCGATCGCGAATGCTACGTCAGTTTTCACCCTGACGTGATCTTTCTATGATAAAATCGTCGTTTCGTTATCTCCTATTTGCCCTTCGTCAATAAAACGCAATTCGAAAAATAACTCTTATATCTCGCATCCAAAATTGTAACAATATTTTAAATATTTTGAAAAATAATTTAGTAATATGCGAATTGAAATAAAATAATAACTACGTTAAATAATTATTTTCCCTGAAGATAATTATCGAATTCGCTTATTTCTAAATTATTTAAAAAAATATTTAAAGTTTTGTTACAATTTTGGTATCGTCCAATTATAATTCTGAAAGTAATTAACTTCCGTGGTAATTAATTTTTCTACAAAAATAACAAAGGGAAGATAATTAATCTGGTTATTACGTTTGTCTGTTGCAGCGAAAAAGCAAAATGGGGCGGCGTTGCGGACGAACAGCCTGGGGTCGGGGGCGAGGACACCACCCCTGGAGAGGAAAAGCAAATTTTCAGCCCTCGGTAGACTCTTCAAACCGTGGAAATGGAAACGAAAAAAGAAATCGGATAAATTCGAGGCTGCCTCGTTGTGTGAGTATCATTGACACGCTATTCGAGTTAGTTGATTTAAGAAACGAAGTAAATTTGCAAAGATTCATGGGTAAGCCAGGGTGTTAACCAGGGGTTGTTTCTCACGGTTGCAGCGCTCGAGAGGAAAATCTCTGTTCGAGCCAGCAGAGACGAGTTGGTACAGAAAGGAATTTTGCTGCCAGTCATAAGGTCCACTTCGTTTCCGGAAAATGGTGAGTTTTCCTCTTTCGCGTCTTGTCATCTTCATGTCCGATTCCGAATTGTCGATATCCGACGTGAAATTGAATTATTCGATATTTTATTCGTGCCAATACTTCTACGAAGACGTTTCGAGTAATTTAAATTCAAATTTCTGGTTTGCGACTTATATTATGCTTTTTACATGGAGATTGGCATTTATCGAAGTTTTCGTTGCTTTATTAGATCCCTTATATATATTTTATCTGCTTGATCCTCTTCTGGGATGAATTTATTAACCTCTTCAGCAACGAATTTTTTAAAGTGGAAGAAAATCTATTTAATTTTGCTTTTTATTTGTTTTTATTTATTTTATATATTAGATAATAATTCAATAAATATTCGACGACGTTTCTTCTTTTATTGTTGAGGGATTCTATGGTAGTTTAGCTGATTTTAATTTTTTCTTCGCTTATAATAATCACAATTTTAAAGAGAATTAACGTACACGTACGTTTTAGTGTTTCTGAAGGGGTTGAACTTTATTAGTATTTATTTAGAATAAATTAGGATGATGAAACAGTAAAATCGATATTTTTGACAGGTATTTAAATGATTACAAATAGTAATTTCCCTAAATCCAAAGAAATTTTTATAAACTCTTCACTATCTCAAGGGTGGTTGTGCAACTCGAATTAAAAAATGTCGATGCATGAAATAAATATTGATATTCATCTGCCATTTTCTATATTTAATTCCAAGTTGGTGTGTACCAAGTATATCAATCTTCTGAAATCTGAAGTAACATAAGCGAGCTTCGATTTACCCTTACCACCCCCTGTTATCTCAATCTCCTCTTCAACCACCCCCTTATCTAATCTATAACAACTCGAAACGTCGCGAACAACCATAAAGCAACTCCATGGAATCACAGAACCCATATCCACGTACACGAACATCGTGAAACTCGACACAACCAGTGGGGTATCTGAAAAGTTTCCAATTTCGAGTCACCTCCAGACGCGACCTCCGCTTAACGAAGTTTTATGCGAATGGACAAATTCGCGAATTTCCGAGCAGGAGTGTCTGGTCCCGTGGAAATTGTCTAGCCTCTGGCTGATCAGGAAATAAGGACCCACGGTCTGCGGGTTGAAACGAGACGCGAATGGCAAGACGTAATGTCGAAGAACGTAATTTGGTTTCGCGCTCGTTATCGCGCAGACGTGGACTCAATTTCCGGAATAGCGGGACACGTGGTCCCTCCGTTTTATGGGAACCTGGACAATATCAAACACGTACCTGATTTTCAGAATGTTTTCTTTCCTAAATTATTTTCGAAGCCTCTTCTTTCTGGAACGCCTTTTTTGAGAAGCTAATTTTTCAAATTATATTTCCAAAGCTTCGAATTGAAAATTGCTATCACATATGGAGATTTAGAAACAGATGATTAGGGTTATTATAAACATGGTTGGATTATTATAAAATCCCAAATTTTAGAAAATTCTTTCAAATTTCGAAAAAGGAATATTTAGTTTACCATGAGACGATAACAGAACTGTCGTTCTTACCGACAGCAGTGATAAGATAATTCTCTACCGGAATTAGAGTACTGTCCTTTCTTCTTTTTGAATTTCAGTATCGTCGTTATGAAATTGTAAGTGCACCCAACTCGAGGTCACGGTTGAAAATGAGCTCCACCACTACACTTCGCAGTCTTTGTAACCTCGGTGAGTGCGACCTTACCGAGGTCACGCGACGACACACGATCATACCATGGATTCCATGGATACCAATGATTTTTCCCTCGTACTGGCCAGCGATTTGTTAACATTTTTACCTGCAGGGTAAATCGATGCCTCTGGCAATTCGTTGCAAGGAATGCAATAATTTATGCATTGTTTCCACCAATCAGAACTGCATCTACACTTGTGCTCCTCTGATTAATAGATACTCTCCGTTTGCCGTTACAATACCCGTTCAACGTATTTTCTGTCCCACAACTCGGGACTGGTATTGATTTTCATACTCTTCAACAGCTCGCAGCATTATTCATATTTCGCATTCTCTTCCATGCGCTCAAACGCGCTCGAGTTCGAAACATCCTCGCTGCAACTGGAGAACCGTAATTTCTGATTAATCACTGTCCTTTCAAGGACAGTGTATTCAGGAAATTTAGCAAGCCAAGCTTAAGATCCTTCGTGTCTACGTACTCGAGGTAAAATTATTAGTCGACGTTCAAAATTGCTAATGAATTATTGATTACGTTTGTATCACCTAGCTCGAACGTGTGTTTTGCGGCTGGGTATGAAAAATGGTCCCTTCACCAGAGTTTTGAATTTGTTTCCCCGGTGATTAATGATTCAGCGTTCTCGAAATCCAGCTATTTCGAGTTTCAAATATTTCCAAAAAAAAGAAAATAAAAATGAATAAATAAATAAATGGTAATGGAGATGCAAAAGGGATTCATTTCATTCACTTTATTTTTGAGTATACCTCTAAAATTCATTTTTCTATTTCCAACAATAGAGTTTACTACACGGGGTTAAAAGATTAGGAATGTCTCCTTGACGAGCATGATCTCGAAAGCAAATTACCCATTCTCGGTATGAATTATCGAGGACGAAACGTTTACTCCACTTGTGGCTGGATCATTGATCTCAGGCTGGTATGCGCGCCGTAGAAGTAGAAGCACGCTGTTTGTCGTGACTTTCTTTCTTCTCAGCTGTTACTACCGTTGACAGAGATAACACCGTTGCTGGTAGAAAGATGAGGATGTTGACGTAGAATGTAGAAAACGCGGATCCCCGACACCTTTTTGCTGCGCGTTGCAATCTTGTCTCTGGAAGGTTGGTTAATCCACGGAGACAGGAAAGGTAGATCGTGCCATTCTCTACGCTGTGTAGAAGGCTCAAACACGCATTGTGTTTACACGCGAGGAATAAAAGATGAAGCTGCCTGGCCTGCGAAACGAGCCTCCCCGAGGGTAGAGCCATTCGTATCTGCCAGATCGTTTTTATTTATATCGCGCAACTTTATTGCAAGGGTTGCTTTAAATAAATTTTTTAAAACGGCCAAGCGAGATTACGTGGATGATTCGAGGCTTAAGTTTAAAAAAGGGGCGCCATTTTATTTATGGCGCGGAGAGAAGGAAATTGCTTCGTTGATAATTAAGTTAATCTATTTAGAGTTTAGGGGTGTATTTAGTTAAACGTCAACGTTGAAGTTGGGCAGAGTTACTTAAGATATATAGATCTTGGCAAAATTAATTTAAGGAAGAGAGGTAATTATACTGGGTGTCCTATATTTAGCGTTATAATAGTGTTATATGGGCTGGAGAATAATTTGTTAAAGAATAAGTCTGAAGAGTGTCAAGCTTTATTGACAGCACATAGCTCTTCTTGAGGAAATTAATATTGGGAAGACAAGTATCTACACAGGGTGTCTTGTCTCTGGTACTCCAGATGGTCATCCTACACTGATGAAGAAATGAAAGAGCAATATTGTGTGTCGATGAATGGAAATCTATCGTTAGATTTGTGACAGTCTTTCATAGTCACCCCTTGTTAAGACGCTTCAGTTTAGACTTGATCATCTAAACAATAAATGCTCGATTTCCTAACCTCTCACTGCCTTATATTCTTCTATTATCCTGTTCCAATATGTACCACTACGTACCGTTTCCAAATTCTTCATTATTCTTCCCAACTTTCTGCCAATTCTCTTAACACGTTCAGCCCGGCGCCATATTCCTGTCCTTTCCAATGTCATTTGCCCATCTAAACAATAAATACTCGATTTCCTAACCTCACACTGTCTTATGTTACTCTGTTATCCAATTCCAATATGTACCACTACGTACTGTTTCCAAATTCTTCATCATTTTTCCCAATTTTCTGCCAATTCTCTTAACACGTTGAGCCCGGCGCCATATTGTTGTTCTTTCCGATGTTACGACAATTATTCAACGCTATTCGCAAGATGCAAGACAGCCAGAAATTTGACTAAAAAGGTCGTCACATTTTGTAATACACGCAAAAGCAAACTATATTTTTATTTACAGTGTTTCAATAAACATCATTAAAATTATTGTATTTATTTTTTAACTTTGATACTGTCGGTCTCTAACAGAGACTGACACCGGGCTCAATGTGGTAATCCGTTCCTTAACCCTTTCACAGTGTGGTAAAATTACAAATTCAGGTCCAAAAAATGTAAAGAAAAGTGTTCCATATGTATCTTGTTAGTAATTAGTTCGTGCATAGTACTTGACACTCTGCCCGTGACTGTCAATATGATAAACTGTTCGGTACTTGACGCTCTGCCCATGACTGTCACGGGATAAACTGTCAATGAATTAAATCTTCCTTTATTTCCACACTGATCGCGATGGATATCCAGTCTCGATTACAACCTCCTTGGTACCCCAAACGTCGTCATTACGATTGGCCCATCCCACCAACCCTGTCATAATCATTCCACCCTCAAATCCACTTCCGTTAAACGCATATCCAGCTAACAACCACGCAGCCCAACCCCCTTCGATTATACATCTCCGTGCAGCGAACCAAATCGATCTCGCAGCCCAAGAAGCCCAGTCGAAAATAGTCGAGCTTCCGAACGCGACGTGGCGAAATAACTGAACCATCGATTGAACCCTATCCAGACCCATCTGTGGAACAGCAGACGCAGCCGTGGAGCTGTAGCAGACACCGTAGCCGCGTTCATTAATATTCCTGCTAACGGTGGCCGCGCGTTGCTCGTTTCCAGAGACGGCGGGCGACTCGCCCGATGGCCAGAAGCCGCCGACGCCGCAGCAGACGCCGCAGCAGCAGCAGCAGCAGCAGCAGCAACAGCAGCAACAGCAGCAACAACAGCCGCAGCAACAGCAGCCGTCCATCGTTGGGATCGGGACCGGCGGCGGCGGCGGTGCCTGCACCCCGGCAGCAACACCCACGTCGGCCGGAAACGCGCAGCAATCCCAACAATCCCAGCAAGTAGCATCGGCCACGCCGACCCCCACGACTGCCAATCCGCATTCTACAGGACCGCCCAGCAATCAACCCTCGCCGCATCCCTCGCCGCTTTATCCGGGGATTCCGCAGGCCGGCCAGCCCAACGGCAGCACGCAAGGTAAGATGCAAATGTCGATATGATCCGCGTGCAACGGTGCTCGAATTTCGCGGAGAGACCGTGCCGAGGACGGGGATGGGGTGCCTGGTATCGTATCCGACCGGGGTTCGAGGTCGGTTAGGGGTCTTACGGTCAGCCGAATCGATACCGGTGTTTGATGTTCGACGAGAGGGGGCTTCATTGGCCGGTGCAGCCTCGTGATGGTTTTATGAGATAGGTTAGGGTCGATGATGTCGACGGGGTGGGCTGACTGCTCGCGAGGGGACTGAATGGAGAGATGGTTGTTTAAAGGGTGGTGTATGATTTAGGAGGATTTAGAGGTCGGGTTTAATTCAACAGGTGACGAGGGTGGGTGAAGACCATGCGTGCTTTTTCGGTTTTGGGGTGGTGGTTTGAAGAGGGTCGCAGGGATATTAGGGTGCGATATTAGGACGAAAAATAGAGGAGTCTTGCAAGTTAATTTGGGATCCTTTTTTAATTAACGCTAGGTTTACTGACGCTATCTGTATACCTATTTCTAAGGACACCTGTAAAATTGGCAGGTAAATCCACGTGCCTTTTTTTTAACGATTAGTTTAATTTAGAAACAATTGTATATTGTATTAATAGTCTTAATATAAGTTAACTAAATCTGTTACCATCGTATAATTGGAGCAATCCTTCCGTCAAATTCACGGGTTCCGTAAATCTAGTGTTAAGAATAGACCTACGTGTCTTTCTAACTGGACAGAAAATAAAGGGAAACTGTGCCTTACATCGTGCAAATCTTTCTTACAATATGGTACTTTAATTATCATTTGATTTGATATCAATATACTTAAATTTTGTTACCATAAATCACTCGGGAATCTTAATATGGAAGACCAAACTGTATCTTACATCACGAAAACCTTTGTTACCATATGTTACTTTATCTATCATGCGATTTAATATAAATCTACGTAAATTTTATTACTATTGTAAAGACATGGGTGGTGGTTAAATAATACTAACTATTTATTAGTAATAAAACAATAATACGATATGTGGTGACGATTAAGCCTACGAATATAGATATATCAACTACAACTACAACTTAAGATTACAACTCGATTCAACAACACTATTACAACTCAGCCTGTTATAACTAAAATACAACTTTCTTCCAATCACTCTTCCCAAGAACTCTTCTTAAGAACTCTACACATGAACTGTCCGCTAACCACTTTTGCCTTCCTTTATATCTTCCCCAAAAGCCTTCCCCAACATGACCAACTATGGTCATGCTAAGGGGTTTTTCCGACCGACATGGTCCTCGAACCCTCGGCGACCTTCCAAACTAAAGTCACCTATACACGAGATGGAAATCCTGCGATACTACACTATAAATCACTCGGGAGCCTTGGTATCTAGGACCAAACTGTGTCTTATATCACGAAAATCATCGTTGCCATGTGTTACTTTAATTATCATTATATGCGATTTGGTACAAATCTAGGTAAATTTTGTCACCATAAATCACTAGGGAATCTTGACATGGAAGATTAAATCTCTCGTGCTATCGGCTCGAGGTTTTAAACATCCGTTCGAAAGGTAAATTGCAGCTCCTCAGGTGTGGACGAGCGTGTCAAGATGTAGAGGTAGTTGCAAAAGAGACGAGGGAAATTATAGCCCCGTCCCCGTAGTATCTAATGCGAACACGCACAATGGCGCGAGCACAGGCGTTGACCTAATTACCAGGAATCACGTGCTAGAGGCGGCATTAATGGGCTACCAAGTATGATCGTGGTATGTCGTGCTGCATCACGACCGCTTAAATATCTCATGGAATCTCCGTCTCGGCCATTCGAATCGCGCGATAACCCTGACAACGTTAAATCATTCGTGTCCAATTAATAGCGAATGTCAGACGTGTGCATTTTCGAACTGGTGTTTCATTGTTGGACGATACATCCGTGTACGAAGAAACTCTTGCTATCGGGTCATCCATGTCAGCATTAGAGATATACTCTTCGAGCTTTCAAACTTCAAAATTCATTTTATCTAAACGCGAATTTTATTTATTTATTTAAAAAATAAAAGAAATGATTTTGCGTGGAGGAAAGATATTTCCTACCCCTATAATTTAGGGGTAGTTTGGAGAACGTCTTTCGCAAGAATAATTGGCAGGAATTGGTAAATTTATAAAAAGTTTTAGGTTAAACGAAAAATAGAGATTTTGAAGATTATTCTGAATTTTGGATGGATGACTATGTACTTAACACGTTGACTGCCATGGTGGTCATCAGTGAACGATGCTTGTCTCCTTGGTAGGGTCATGGTGGTCACCAGTGTCCGGAAGTACTAATTTTTTTAATTTATAGATAGATAGATAAATCTTTGTTATTTTCCTATTGAATTATAAGGGTTTCGCCTCTTCTTATTCCCCGTACATATTGCTTATTTTATATAAAATATATAACTACTATAACAACAATACAATATAAAACGATATAACAGCCTATGATGCACTAACCTAATGATGCAATAACCTAACCTAACCTAACAATAACATGCTCTTATTTACACATCCAATTTCTTTAATTTATATTTCTTTTATTTCAACCAATTTTTGAATATTTCAACAACATAAATAAATAGAGAACTCTGAATGGAAGACATTAATAATTTGCATCCTTGTCTTTCCCCATATTGTTTAATAATGTTATATTATTTAATATATTTAATATATAATGTATTATTTTTATATCATATATATTATTTATATTATTACATATATCATAAGTATAATGGAAATTTTATCGTGGCCCCTTGAACGTACCATGTAAATATTGAATGACAGTCAAAGTGTTAATTGAAAACGTTGAACATTCGCAAAAAAATTGGTAGACCTCTCGCTAAATCGCCATTTATATTACTGTTTTCAGAGCGCTCGTTTCTCCATCTTATCCTAACATCTAAAATCCTCATCCTTATAACCAGCTTCCATAAATTCGTCCTTCGAATAACTTTGCCGCTTCGACAAACACGTCATTCTAGATCCCTGTATTTAATCCTCCTAGCCTTTTTACTCGACAAATATCAACACGATTCATCTTCAATCTTCTAAATCTCGTTTCTAAAATCCAGAGTGCAAAATCCATTTGCACTCGACAATTTTTTGGCTAGAGAAGAGTAGAAAATCAAAGATTCTTTATTAACCCTTTGGACTCGAAGATTTTTTCGTTGCGAATATGCAATTCGAAGCTCTTTTCAAGTTTTTATAAGCTTACTGACACTCTTTATGCTAAAATTAAAAAAAGAAAATCGCGAATTTGCGCGTGAAACGAAGGAATAGAATAATTTTACTTCGATGTTCTTAGTATAATTATCATCATTCGTTATCTAAGTTATAGCATTAAAACAAACGGTGACTGAGAGTCACCTCTCGAGTGCAAAGACTTAAAAAACTGACGATACTTTTTTCAGCAGTAAATAAAGAATTGTATAATAATAGAATTGTAGAATTATTTGATTTCGATGCCTTGCACACTGTTACATTACATTAAATTTGATATATTAATTAATATCGATTTTGCAAATTTTATGAAATGGTGACTGAGAGTCACCTCTCGAGTGCAAAGGGTTAAAAAACTGACGATACTTTTTTCAGCAGTAAATAAAGAATTGTACAATAATAGAATTGTAGAATTATTTGATTTCGATGCCTTGCACACTGTTGCATTACATTAAATTTGATATATTAATTAATATCGATTTTGCAAATTTTATGAAATGGTGACTAAGATTCACCTCTCGAGTGCAAAGGGTTAAAAAACTGACGATACTTTTTTGAGCAGTAAATAAAGAATTGTAGAATTATTCGATTTCGATGCCTTGCACACTGTTGCATTACATTAAATTTGATATATTAATTAATATCGATTTTGCAAATTTTATGAAATGGTGACTGAGTCACCTCTCGAGTGCAAAGGGTTAAAAAACTGACGATACTTTTTTGAGCAGTAAATAAAGAATTGTAGAATTATTCGATTTCGATGCCTTGCACACTGTTGCATTACATTAAATTTGATATATTAATTAATATCGATTTTGCAAATTTTATGAAATTGTGACTGAGAGTCACCTTTCGAGTGCAAAGGGTTAAAAATCTTCGAAAATCTCTATAGAATGCCACGAATCACACCCTGCACCCTACGCCAGCTAAGTGGAAATCTTTGCACAAACGACACCGGATCCCGGTCTCGTCGTATCGAGTTCTTCAATCCGAAGGAACGGTCCCCGATCTTTCATCCCCTATTTCGCGTCCCATATCTGACCATCGTCCGAGCAGGCGATCGTCTTTCCCCCGCGGTCTAAAAGGAAGCCGTAAAATCGCGTTCATCGCGCGATCGCGTAACGCGATATCATCGGAAGGATTCGATTCCTCCGCAACCCCCCATTTTTCCTTCAACCCCCTAAGTCTCTCGAGATTTCGCCGCGCGACTCCTTCGTCGCCGGGCTACCTGTTGCGATTCGCGAATTTATTTCGCGCCGCTCACCCTTGCTCGACGTCTTCGATCCGCTTGTTCGAGGCAGTCGGGGTTGGCAGGGAATTCGAACGAGCGTGGAGCAATTTGCATGCGGGACGAGTCGGTGATCGCGACATGGGATTACGCGGGACAATTCAGTCGTGGACGCGTTACGCGCGGATTATATTGCTCGGTGCAGCTGCTGGGTTGTTAATATTACGAGGAATAGAGAGAGGATCTTTCCTTTGAAAATTTGACCGTCTTTAGTCAGAGTTTCATTTTTCCTGAAGGAATATCGCGAAGAATTAACACGTTGCGTGCAACGTGTACCACGAATGGGTGGTGCTAATAGTAATAAACTTATAAATAAATGGTACACGCAGACATATTTATTTAATACGTTGAAAATATGTTTTATGGCAAATTTGATTCTGAAAAATTATATTTTCACTGAAAAAATGAGGCATTGCACAGAATACAGTATAGAAGAATATATTAACCATTAACGCT